CTTTCAACAGCCAATGAAATCAGCTTCAGCAGAAGTGGTCTGAGTTGCCCGGTTTAAGGATGTCTCAACTCGGTCCGGCAATTGGGGTTTCATTCTTGTCAGTTCACGAGAATTGGAAGGCGTTCGCTGGGAAGGTGGCTTAGACGCAGACAAACTTGCTCAGACTTCACTGAGGTTGACAGAGGAAACACCATTGCGAACAGCTGCGAGTGCCTCAGGCACATGTCGCAGCAGCGCATCTTGTACAGCTGGAAGAATACATTGGCGGCGATGGTCTAGCAGAGTAGCAAATCCAGCAACAAGGTGATCAACCGTCCACGGTCTTTTGGCGGTTGGACTCCGGAAGATGAAGACCGGCTTGAATCTTGGATTGTTGAAGGCCTTACCAATTCCTTCAAGGGTTCTTACAACGAGTACACCAAACAGGATGTTGTAGGAGTTGCCACCCACCGCGACGGCGTCTGGCGGAACCAGCGCAATTCCCAGCAATCTTTGAAGCACAGCATGCTTGGGAACGGTCCCAGCATGAAGTTGCAGCACACAGGGAGTTGCGAGACCCGAGAAGGACGACAGTTCCCACGGCCAATCCGATGAGGAAAGAGCTGAAGGGACCTCGCGTCTCAACCTGCTCGCTTCCTCGCATAGGCCGTCCTGCACTTTCAAGCGCATCAGCCGGCAGCAGGGCGGCGAGTGTTGGTGGGAGCTGCAGTAGGTGAAGCAAAGCCCAAAGCACCGAAGCGAGTCCAGAAAAGGCGAACGCTTAGGCTTCAGAATCGATAGCCGCTAGCCATGAAGAGTGTCTGCGTTGCTCGTGGAGCAATGCTTCGATTCCGGATCCACAGAGACCACTCAGCTATATATAGACAACATAGATGTCAAAGAAGCTGAGGGTCAGGGATGGCGGTGATGTAGCCAGTGGATGTCATGTAGAATAAATGGTGAGACGGATCCGGTCAGTGTGAAACAATATGACAAAGGATATGCTGTTGAGCGCATCTACAGCCGCAGACAGGAGCCAAGACAATCACAAGACAACACCACTTCGATGAGCTGAAATCGTGTGATAAGTTGTAGGAAGATGAGGAGGCAGGGAGAACAACTGCGGGAAAAACTGAAGCACGAGATAGAGAGTTGCTGACTGCAAGCATGTCCCAAGTGGCTGGGCAAGTCATTCACGAAGCTCACCCAACACGACCGAGATCTGAACTTCAGGTGAAGCACACGGCAGATTGCAGGATGCCCATGTCAGCCACCATGAGCTGATGAAGCAGTAGAATCAATAACCCTTATGACGTACTTTGTACTACCTACTACCTGCTACATACTCACTGGCTGCGTACTACCCGCTTCTTGCTCCCTGCTACCTTCTACTTGCTTGCTGCTGCTACTGCTACTGCTACTGCTACTAACTGCTACTGCTGCGACTTCGCCTACGCCTGCGCCTACGCCTTACGGCTACTCGTATGCCTGTGGCCAAAGCCGACTCCCGTCCAACTCCTACTTCCACTCTTACTCCCACTCTTACTCGCACTCGTACTCCTACTCCTCCTACTCTGACTCCACTCCTCCGACCCCTCCTACAACTCCTACTACTCCTACTGCTCCCACTACTCCTGCTGCTGCTCCTCCTCCTCCTGCTCCTACTCCGAACCTTGAAAGCAGGCCGTAAACCTTACAGAGCAGCCCAGAATAGTCCAAAATACCAGACCAGGCTAGAGTAAGCCCTAGGCCCTAAACCCTAAGGAGTCCTAAGTAGGCCCCAGCCCAGAGCACACCCTGAACCCTATAAAGCCAGAATGAACCAAAATGAACCCCAAACCCTGAACTCTCAAGCCAGATCCGAAATCCTGAACTCTGAAAGATTCCAAAAATCAAATCCTGAACCCTGTAAAGCCACCACGACGTAGTTTTAAGCAAATCTCGCCTAAAACCACGAAGTGCTGAGCAATACCTTGGCTTGTTCAAACCTTAGCGGTTTTTTGCAAGACTTGCCTGCGACCACCAAGTGGTGAGGATTTGCCTAAACTCGATTGTTGAGCAAATCTTGCCCGAACCCGGAAGGTTCGTGGTCTTAGGAAGATTTTGCTCAACACTTCGTGGTCCTAGGCAAATCTTGCCTAAAACCACGAAACGTGGAGCAGACAACCTGCCCAAATCCACGAAATGTTGAGCAAAACCTGCTGAAAATCCTAAGTTAAGTACACAAGGCATAAAAAGCTAGGGTTTAGGATTATAGCTCGGGTGACGAACAACTAGGCTAGCAGAGTTTCCAAACCTAGCCCCCGTGGAAGAATCCCATACCCGGTAATGAAGCCCTAGACACTGGACACGAGAAGGCATCCAACCTTAAAAACTCGCCATGGCTAGACCTGAGACCCTGTAAGATCAACCCAATCAACATAAACCCTAAACCCTAAAACCAGCCCAGGTAAGCGCTGAACCAAATTTGCACAGCAAACTTGCCCATCTTGGGTTGTTTTGGGGCGGGCAAGATGGGCACGCAAGCATGCCAAAAACCACTTGCGCCACTTGGCAGAAGGGGGGGCAATGTGAAGCATCTCGCCCATCTTGCCTTATACCAGTTGCACCACTTGACCACTTGCACCGCTTGGGGACCAATCATGGGAAAGATTAGCAGCATGTTGATCGCAAACAGCGGCCCTCAATTCCCGGTACACTGCACTACTACTACTACTACTGCTACTACTCTGCTAGTACTTCTACTGCTGCTACTACTACTGCTACTATCACGACTACTACTACTACTACTACTACTACTACTACTACTACTACTACTACTACTACTACTACTACTACTACTACTACTACTACTGCTACTGCTACTACTCTGCTAGTACTTCTACTGCTGCTACTACTGCTGCTATGACTGCTACTTCTACTACTTCTTCTCCTGCCGCTACTCGGCCGCGGACAATGAAGGGTCGACATGCCATTCCATGCAGTCCGTCCACTTGCAATACGAGAGGAGGACCCCTGTCACTAGTCACCGTTACAAGAAAGCTGTCTCTCTTCATGTTCCAGTGGGAAGGGCAAGATGGCTTTGGCGAGAGTCGTCCGTGCCAGGATACTTGGCCTCAACGAGATCGTCCTTGTCAAACCTACCGGCATCACCTTCTGCAAACTCTCCCCACCTCAGGGTGCTGTTACATCCACGCTCTGACTGGAAGGGCTACAGTTTCGACGACGAGTGACTTCTCGTCCGTCGACCGACCCCAGAAAGCCTTTCCCAGCGATGTTCCCCGGTCCTCCTGACAGCTGCTAGCATGGCAGCATCAAACCAGCCACAAGCAGACAAACGACGCTTGTTATGTTCTTGTGTTTGCAAATCCCGTCATAGGTGGGCCCATCGGCAAACCTCGATGTAAGGTCCCAAGGTTGCAGGACTTCGGGTGAACACGCTTTGCACCACATCCCGCTGAACTCAGCGAAGGGCTCCAGAGCAAAGATAAGACAGGCAGGCTTTTTCACAGAACAGCAAGACCGCACCGAAACACATCGTGAATGTCTGCGCCTGGAAATACATCCGTGGCCAGTTCTTCTCGCTTCCCGCATCTGCCTGACCCGGAAGCTTCCGAATTCCATCAAATCATAAGAACCTGGTACATCCTGGTACCTGCTGCTTTCGGCTTCCGGCCTCTGGACCCGCATGGCAAGGAGGAAAGGTCCTGCTGAGCCTGTGGCGGTGTGGCCCAGCCGGGCAGGCTTGAATAGGCTGAACAGGCCCACCTGGAACGCAGCGACCAAGACCGGAAACAGAGTCCTGACACGGAGCTGGAAAATGGATAGAAGATGCACTCTTGGCTGTTCACGATTCACACTGTGATGGTGTGCGGAAGCTCTGCAGCCGCTTTCTGCAGCAACTCACTGGACAGTAGGCTCCTGCAGAAAGCAACAGGATGCCCAGGAGGTTAAGAGTTGTGCGTCCTCACAGCGACGGGCCACAAGACTAGGTCTGTCTATGCTGAGACTGCGCATCTCACAGCCCACTGAAGCTGTGAAACCAACGTTGGAGCCCAGTCACCAGCTTTGAGCGTGCGTGGATTCATGGCGCAGAAGTTGGCAATCGCAGTGATCACTGGTGACAGTGCATATTTCTCTTCTCGGCACTACTGTCAACTACAACAACGCGATGCATCGTTTCAACATTTCGGCTGCCTGAGCCTGAGTGCGGCTGTCTCCACACCGGTCACTAAGTCACTAGTGCAATGATCCAGTGCTGTGGAATGTCAAAGCCAGCACAAGTCACTAAGATTCACCGAGTGCCACAGGTGCAAAGTCGTGCGCTTCAGGCAAGCCTCGCCTCACGATCCTGGGTGCGTAGAAACGGTGACGACATTCGCGTACAGTGCACAGCGACCTGCATGCAGGGATGTGGAGCTATGAGCACAGGTGCTTGAAGATGCTGTCAAGCTGCAGGCACGTAGCTGGCCGAAGCCTGCAGAGCGAGTCGCTGGCAACACGAGAAACAGGTGACCGTATGACCCATCCCATGCCTGTGGCAAACACGGGCCCGTCACGCAAGGACGGCCCTGACAGGTCTGAGGTCTCAAAATTTTTGGTCTCTACACTCTTTCTCTTTTCCTGAGGCAAGTGCCAGCGGTGTTTGGCTGCGCGAAGACGCACGCGACTCCTCGGCCCTCCCGGCGAGGCATGCGCTGCCCCGCGTGTCGACGTGAAGCACTGCGGCCACCATTTTCGGAGGACAGCGTGAGGACGGCCGCTTCACCTTCGTGGAAACCTGGTGTTCAGTACAGCTGCATGTTACCCTACACGGCTTCGATTGGTCAGCTCAGGGGTCGTGAATGCCGCTTCTCAGAAGCTCAATGCGACGAGACTAAGCTACTGAGCAGATGACCAAGAACAGGACAAGCTCTGCAGGCTCTGCAGCTGAAACAAAATTGTCCGGCTCTGACAGTTGGCACTTTGCACACCGCTAAAGCCCCGGTCTCCTTCTCTTTTTGCTTACTGCGCCGCTCTCTTTACATGCCCATGCCGATGTTGCTCCAGAGTGGAATCGCTCCTTGACGTCCATCCTTGACTGAACAGAGCCACGTCTCCCGACATTTGCATGACGAGCAACTGGAACGCGAGACCCAGGCCGCGCAGGTCCACTTCTTCTCTTTCTCCAGCAGCTCAATACCAATGGACCTGGACAACAAGGGCAACCCGCACATGCTTGCACGAGGCAAGAGGGGCTGCTGCTGCAGCTCCTTTCGAAGCTCATCTGAGCTCGCATAATCCTGCGAGCAAAGCTGTTCGGCACATGCAGCGTATGCCATGTATGCTTGAGCAGTGCACCAGCAATTGCCTTGGCCATACGCAAGCGCTCTCGTGTGGCGACGAGCCTCTGTCAGAACATGAAGCAGAAACAGCTTAGCTAAGCTTAGCTGCTTGGCTTCGATTGAAGCTAGGGTGAACCGTTCTCTCGGCCACTTGCCCTTCGATCTCGTGGTCCGCTAACATTATCCCGTCCTGCACGATGCTTCAAGGGTGATGCACTTGTACCTATTAGCATTCATCATGCTAGCAACGTGCATGACCGAAGCCAGCATTTCGGACGGCAACAAGCTCATGGAATCTCACTGCGGTCCCTGTTTCGCTTGATAAGCTGCATGGCCTGTGCCACGAAGACTTGCGGATACTTCTCAATCTGCACGGAGGATTTCTGATCCCTCCAAGCCCGTCACCTGCTGCATCTCCGGCTTCCTCGCGACTTGCACTGCACTTGCACCGCTTGCACTTGTTCCACAGATTGTGGCAGTGCGAACCTTTGCGGCGGTGCCTCGGATCAGTCTGGCTGCAACTGGCATGTACTAGCACGAGGAATCTCAGGACGTCACTATCAGGCCATGACTGCCTATTGGTGCTTGCGACACGTGAGGTCGCCCTGCAGGTATGGGCCGAGCCTCTCGTTTGGGGCACGAAGCCGCAGCACGATAGGCAAGACTTCGACGCTGAGACGCTGGCTGGGGTTGCAGTTCCGGCAAAAACCTGGCGCGCGCGCACCCGGAAACGGCCCGAAACGGGCGCAACAAGGGCACAGGATATCAACTTTGGTATGGTTCAGGCCTGGCGCAAGGCCTGCAAAGCTCTTGCAGCGGTGTCCTGGCGAACTGCCGCAACTGCCGAAACTGCACAGAATCAGCACGACTCAGAACGCATGCATCAAAACACGTGTTCTGCAGCATTAAGTGTCCACCTGCTCCCAGACTTCAATGGAAAATCTCGCAGACGACGTATCATGCTTCGAGAAGGGGAATGGGTCGCGGACCGGATTTCTCGCTGCTGCGACCGCCAGCGAGACCAACTCCTCCTGCAGAAGGCTTGCCCATGAACTCACATGGGTGCGGTGCTGCAGTGCCAGATCTGATGCCTCCACTGTAGGGACGGCCAGCCGGGCCTCAGATTCCACTCTGCTGCGTCACGCATGCTTTGAACCCTTAATCAGATCAACCCTCGCGGAATCTTCAAGCTCCAATACCAAATGCTAGAGGGAGGCTGCAGGAATCGCAGGAATCGCTGCTGCCAGCGGGCGATTCCTGCAATCAAATCATTTGCAGAGAACTGGTGTCTGTCGCCCGGGCTTGCTTGCGAGTTGCTGCTGCGCAGCGGGGCCAGGAGCTGCCTCACCGCCTCCTTTTGTTGGCTTTGACAAATTCAATTTCCTCTTTGGCGGGTTGGGGAATCCCTTGTGCCTGTGAGTGAACCCCAGCTCGGCACTGCTCCAGAGCGGCCATCCGAGCAAGACCATGTCTTAGCATCAGAAAGGGAAAGGGCTCTTCGGCTTCGGCTATTGCCAGTTTTCGATGTGTGGGCGCCACACTTTTCTTTTGTCATCGATGGTCACCCCACGATTCTTGAGCTCCTCGGGACAGATGCTACACGCAGCAGACCTGCAGCGATGTGGAGCATGTGAAGTCGCGTTCCAAGGCACATCTCGAATCATGTCCGAAAGCTCATAGTCGTTGCCCATCCTGGCCCTCGTCTCCGTGGCGCTTGGCTCAGCTGCCGACTTGTGCTCACTCCACGCGAACCGGGCTCGGCACTTCTCTCTTTGTAGGACCAGAGTCGTGACCTCCACGTCACTCAGCCTTGAGGGTCCCCGACGGCAGACGCAGCAAACTGTCTCAGAATCTGAGGCTCTCAGGCTCTCAGGCTCTCAGGTCCGGGCTCATGCGCGCGGAAGCCAGTGATGATGCCTTGCAGCCTTTCACGGAAGACGTTCAACAAGCAGCGGCTCGCAAGGCTTCCAAGGCTCACACCCCCTGCTGGGACCTGTGCAAAGCAAAATCCTACACATGCCTTGGCATTCCCGTCTGAGCGCAATCCAAGCCGAGCAGCACTTCCAAAGCTTCTCTTTGTCTAGCAGCTCAACACCGAGCTCCTGGTTCCGGCTGTATGCAAACGGCTTCGAGACACAATCACAAAGCATCCTGAAGATCTGCCCTGATCTTGTCTGCTTGGTCAAAGTCCTGGCATAGCTGTTAACAAAGCGCACGAACAGAATGCAAATCGTGAATTCACCTTGTTTCCCCGTGCCATCTCTCGATTTTGGATGAGCTGCTTGATGTCTTCCACGAGAGCCTCCGTTAATCATGGTCACCGCGATCCACGAAAGGGCTGCTGAGCTCCCAACATCACCATCTTGCGCTGGCAGTGGTGTCTCAACAGGTGAAAGCAGAGCCGAAGCGTCAATGCCCGCCTGGACCAAAGAGCTGATCGGTTGATCAACGCCGAAGGGCTGACAAGATGAGGCTCAAGCTTCGATTTCGTCGAAGCTAGGAATACGCCCTGTAACTCCGTCTGAGCACTTCCACCTCACACAAACGAGCTGCTTGTTCAACAGATTGTGCCAGCACTGGCACCGAAACGAACGAACTCATGCAGCACACTTGCTATATTGAAGCGACCTTGCAGAAGCAGCTACACAAGGCACCTTCGAGCATCCACATAACTCATGCGAATCTCAAACACAGACGATCTCAAACTCGCCAGCTTCCGAGACTTCATAGCGAGTTATGTTGTCATTATTCCATATGACGTAGGATCTTTGCCAGAGACAAACCCCCAAAGTACACCCACTAATGTTCGAAATGAACCCCGATACACTCGATTCGAAGGTTGCCTATCACCAGCAGATCGGCATCACAACCCAATTGTGACCGAAATGTGTTCTGGCAAACGAAGCAAAAAGCAGTGCAGCACCGCCACTGATTCGTCTTGTCAAACAGCTGCACCTTGGAACAACAAGCAAAGCATTTTGGACAAACGTCCAACTTTCCAGCTTGATCTTAAACGTATGCGTGTGGAAACGGACTTATAATACCGTACCTTGTCGCTGTGCGCACTGCCTAGTGCCAAATGCCTGCTTGCCACCTCTGACACATCGTGCTTCGCGAACCGCATGACTAACACCCAACAGTACAAAGCTCGACCTAAATCTCAGGGCTCTGCTCCTGCGTCTTGGAGCTGAGTGCGCAATAGGTCAGCCTCGACGATCGAAAACACCAGGTCGACATGTGCATAGTGCGCGCAAGGAATGAAGTGCAACATGCCGCCTGGCCCCAATCCTTGCCCAGGCGAGCCTGTCAAAAACGTGAACACAAACACTCCAAGGCCAACATGTAGTTGGCAGGGATACTACATGCTTGCTTGACCCGGGATCGATCCGACATCGATGATAGCACCAAGTCGAACAAAGATCGATTCCTCGATACTAACAGGCTAACCTGCATCGTGGCGTCGGGAGCAAGCTTTGCCAAACCGCCACAGAAATCGAGCAAGTGGCAACGAACTCACTTGACCCGGACCTGTTCACGGAGGATGACCAATCGGGCAATTTCAAGGGTAGTCGTCTGTCGACGTGGAGAGCGCGAGCGTGACCTCGCGTCAACTTTGGTTGCATTGCGCTCTGCCAACAGAAAACCGATGCTATCCCTTCCAAGTCTTTGTTGTGCAGCACCTCGCCTTTGTCCCATCGGAATCATTCTGCTCAAGCAAACTTGAAATACTCTGCTCAAGAAAGTTGCCGCCTTTGTTTATGCAGTGAACCTCAGGAATGCTCAATGTATGCTTGGGGCATTTGGAATGTGGCCAAAATCAACATCAACGCATCATTGATTGAATTGAAACCTACACAACCAAGCTGGTGCAACGATGCAAACACAAGGTCAACGGCGTAAAATGCAGGAATTGTTGCAAACGCTGCATGACCCCAAGGTTCTCTTAGCGTTGAAAGATAAAATGAGTGCAATCGAAAATGATTGAACTTCGTTCGAAATTTGGCCTGAGGTCGTGTTGCGAAAGAAAGTCATGTTGCGAAGAACTTTGAACGTGACATCAGCATTGGCTACGACGAGAAGCACGGAACAAAAGCAACATCGTCAATGTTTGTTCGTGGTATGTGATTGATTCAGTACCGTTGCACTGCGGACACTAGCGGTCACCTTTGCCACTTCTGATGAATGCAAAATGCACCACTGCGCATCCCAACGATCACATGCCATGCTTGCTCGTCCAATAATTGTATAACGACTGTAAACATATTTCGAAAAACAAGTGTACAACCGACAAGTGTACAACCGACACAAACGAAGTGACTGCCGGCAACTGCAGCTGCCACGGCGACTGCTGTTGCTTATCCTATTAACTATTTCTGTGAACATTATTAATACTATTGCTTTACGATTGATTTGCAGTTGAAGCCGATTCGGTTTACAAATGATCGAATATTTCAAAGTCCACGGGACGCTGCGTAAATATAACAATAAAAATGATACTCAATCATATATTGTGTCCAGCAATGGCGTGCCCTCACTGCTTTCGCTCAAGGCATCAAACGGGTCCACAGTACATGTCGCACACATGTAAGAGTGGCCCACGTCACCGCCAAATCGAGTCGCACTTTTGCCACTCCGGGTGGAAAAATTTCACAGCACTTGTCCTCACAGCCCAAGACTGGTCCATTGTTCACATATGTGTGCAGCACGTAAAATGCTCAAAATTTTAAAGCCGAAAAACATTTGTTGAAGCTATGGATCACATCTTTGCCACACCATATTGTGCAGATTAGCGACCACGAACGAATCTCGTTTTTTCTTTGCCTAGATTTCGAAAGACGCTTGAATTTCATTGATCTGCAAGAACTTTCGACGTGATTCGTTCCGTTGCAGCCAGTCAACTGTGCGGCAGAATTCCAGCACAGGGACACCCAGTGCCGAACTGCAGGTTACAGCCATCAAGCAAGCCAATTCAAACGGCTGTTCGAGTAGAGGCACAGATCCACCAACTGAGGAGTGGAATGGTGCCCACAGGCGGACACAGTCTGGAAGACTCCATCCAACCTGGTTGGAATGGTCAAGCCCCCATCTGCCCCATTTGCTGGCCACCACACCTGTCCAAGGAGACCCTCTGGTTTGGATTCTGGCTTGTGGGTCGATTCGACGCGCAAACGTCTCGATTCCAGCTCTTTGTCCGTCCCAAGAAGATTTTTTCAATTAATGGCGAAACAAAAACCTCAAAGACAGTAGTTGCTGCACTCGATCCCACGAAAACTACAATAAAACAATAAGAACGCAAAAATGAACAAGCAAACTGCAAAAACTTGACTTCACTGTAACTTCTCACACACACACAAAAGAAGAAAAAGCACGAAATCGTTTTAGAAGGCTGCAAGCGAACAAAAGAAATTCAGTTTTCGAAAAAATGTTTAAAAAAATATGAAAACATGACCATCTTTTTCCAACCTCTTCTGGCCCATGAGAAACTCGCAAGCCTGGGAGAGCTTATATACATCCACATCAAGCGTGACGACGTGCCGTTCCGGGTGCATCTGCTATGTTAGAGACGAAGTACGGAGGGTGCCGATGACACGAATATTCTAAGTTTGTCATGTACCAGACATCCACAGCTTCAAGAACACATTCTGCCTGATGTGGGTTCGAGCCTGTCTAGTTGATGGCTTATTGCGGACTTATGACTGTGTCGAAGCGCTTATCTGTAACTTGCAATCGCACAAGACTCGCTTGCAGTATCCTTGAGCAATCTCTTCCACGCATCCACGCAAGGCCGGCGGATCGCGACCGACCAGGTGGACAGTGGACTCACATCAATCGAAGCTTCTTCTGCTTCTGCCGCCAGTGCCAGCGCCACTGTTCACAGAAGCACTCACACGCTTTCTACTCGCAACAGCTCAAAGAAGGCGTCTCTGTTTCACGTTATTTTTGTTAATTTTGCTTTGTTCGGTTTGGATTGGAAGTTGAAGATTTGCGGTTGGCGGCTTCAAAGACGCGGGAAGTTTGCAATTACAAAAAGCAGAGGGATTGGAGAGGCGCAACTTCCCCCATTTTCGTGTCGTCGATTCTGTTTCGCGTGTTACGTCCCCCAAAGCGATTTCGTGGGCATTTATTTTCTTAGCTTTTGATCCCTCTTGGGCGATTTCGTGTGGCATCTGCTTTTGTGTTGAAACAAGGCATCTGTTCACGTTCTTTTTGTAAATTTCGCTTTGTACGGTTTTGGATTGGAAGAAGTTTGCGGTTGGCGGCTTCAAAAACGCGGAGAGTTTGCAATTGCAAAAAGAGGTGCTGCAGAGGTGACATATGCCTCTTTTCCTCCAAGAGCCAGACGACGAAGCTCATTCCTGGCCAGTGTAGAGTCGGGCTCGCCTGCGCAAAGGGCTGCCAAGAAGGCTGCCACCACCATACTTGCGGCCTGGCCAGTTCCCGCCACGACGTCAGCTTGGTCGTTCGAGGTGCTGAGCGGCTCGCACAGCTCTGCCAGCGCAGCGCCAATTGTGAGCAGCGGGTTGCACCGAAGCCGCAGAGCACGGTGCAAAGTTGCAAATCTCCTCCAGCTCGACTATACGAGACCTTTGAGGACTTGCTTTTTCGAGGCATCAAGGGACGCGTGGATGTTAACGGAGAAGCCCCGCACGGATGGGCACAACACGAGATGGGCGGTCGCCTCCCTTCCGGATAGCTTTGCACATTGCGACAGACCACACTACGCAGGAGCTCATGAGCTTCCTCCGATATCGCCTACGGATACTGGCAGGGACTGGTTTCAAACCTAAGTTCAAACCTGGGTTCAAACCTGGGTTTAAACCTGGGTTTGACGCGGAGTTGAACCCAGGTGTGAAAAACGCAGAGCTCACTCTCTTTTCACTCCACGCTTGAGCCAAACACCGAAGTGTTCAGCAAGGTCTCTTGCGGAGTCTCGCGCAGTAACAAATTCCGTCTCAACTTTGCTAAACAAAGGAGGAATGACATGCAACTGTCCTAACACTTCTCAGGACTTCTGTACTCACTCAAACAGCAAGTGCACAGCCACTCTGCCCTTGGCCTGTTCCTACCGGCACGAGCGAAGCGAGGGTCGGCGGAAACAGCGGCAGGTGCAGTCAGAGCAACACGCACTTCTTCAAGGATGCTCCAAAGCATCTCTAGTGATGTAAGCGCTCATCATGTTCTTCACAGCAACTGCAAACATGCCCAAAAACATGTGTTCGCCATGCAATGCTCGTTCAAGCTTCCAAAACAAAACAGTTCAAAGCAAAGGATGAAACCCTTCCTCATGCACAAAACATACATGTCAGCACTCAAGGGCACACCTAAAGGAGCAAACTTTTCTTTCTCGGTGGGCGGAACGAGTCGCTGCCTTAGACCGGTGAAACGTGTGCCTACAGTAGTAGGTTGCCCAGTCTTTGGGCTTTGTAGCGTTTAGGAGCCGTGTTTGCCCCATTGACCTGGTTTGCGAGAGCAGGCTTGAAGCAGTCACAGCTTTCAAAGCAGCCTAGGAAGGGTACTTTGACCCACTCACCAGAAAAGCTGGGAAAGAGTCTTGGGCAAAAACTCCAACAAAAGGCTCATGTACGCCGCCAACTGGGCTGTACAAAGTCCTGGAGTGAACTAGGCAGAGCTCTTGGACTCGTCAAGAGGATCAAGGTGGAAAACAACCACATCATGCCATGTTGTTCTTAGACCAGCTAGTCGCATGATCAACTGGCAAAACCCAGTATGCCGTGGTGTTGAAACCAAGCAAGCAAAAGTGGCAGGAACTGAGATTTTCCAGCTAGGTTTCCTTGTCGCTGTGGACAGCTCAACGCGTAGAGTCATGCACTGTCTTGGCGACAGGCAAGGTCAGTGAGCCCAAACGGTGAAGTGACCAGGTACTCAAGACTTGGCTGGGTTTTCAGAGTTGCTTGCAGGAAGTTGGGGTTTGGGCTATCCCCAAAGAGGTTTGGTAAAGCCCAGGAGGTGCGTAGTAGAACCAGGAATTCCTTTAGGCCCAAAGAAGCTGGACGCTGCAGGAGCCACTTTCTTGAGAATGTTTCTCGTCCACTGGTCACAACCAGTATAAGCCAATGTGCAAACTTTGCCAAGTGCACCTGAAGTTCAACTTTGCACGCCCACTCTTTGAGTCCACATTTCTTACACAGCCAGGCTTTGCCAGCATTGATCATTTTATGCGTGGCAGCTCCCCAAGATTGGGTCTGTTTACAGATACAACCTACACGCTGGCACGACCGGTGTCCTTCCACCCAGGTGTGCCCTAAGTGGTTACCACTACCAGTGAGCAGGGCCTCCAACTGGCTGCATTTGTTGGGCTCAGTTCCCAGCTAACCTTGCAGCAGGTGTACTGATTTTGCTTTTCGAGGCTTGGTGATGACGTGTTTCTTCTCTTGGGACCTCTTTTGTAACCAGGCTTTTTAACTTCTGGTTTGCGTATGTGAAAAACGCAGAGCAAGTCTCTTTTCACTCCACGCTTGAGCCAAACACCGAAGTGTTCAGCAAGGTCTCTTGCGGAGTCTCGCGCAGCTAATTCCGTCTCAACTTTGCTAAACAAAGGAGGAATGACATGCAACTGTCCTAACACTTCTCAGGACTTCTGTACTCACTCAAACAGCAGTGCACAGCCACTCTGTCCCTTGGCCTGTTCCTACCGGCACGAGCGAAGCGAGGGTCGGCGGAAAACAGCAACAGTGCAGTCAGAGCAACACGCACTTCTTCAAGGATGCACAAAAGCATCTCTAGTGCCGTAAACGCTCATCATGTTCTTCAACGCAACTGCAAACATGCCAAAACATGTGTTAGCCATGCAAATGCCTGTTCAAGCTTCCAAGACAAAACAGTTCAAGGCAAAAAGGATGAAACCCTTTCTCATGCGCAAAACAAGCATGTCGGTACTCAAGGGCACACCTAAAAGGAGCAAACTTTTCACACCCCCTCATGCCCGAGAGTCCTCTTCACTTCTCCTCAAAAGTCTTCTTCGCGTTCTTCAAGAGAGCGAATCCTAAACCCGCTGGATACACACCTGACTCAGGAAGAGGAAGGTAGTAGTGGCCGTGTCCCTCAGAGCACTGAGACGAAAGTCCCCACACAAACTCTGTGCGGTTAGACACAAACCACCATCTTTTCCAAGGTCGTTGGTCACCCTTTTCAAAGCAACAACGATCCACAAGGCAACCCTGATCCAAACGAAGCTTCTTAGAAACCCTCTTAAACACAGTCTCATCCCACAGTCCTGACCTCTCAGGCCACTCGTGAGAAAGCAGAAGGTTCGGGGAGCCTATGTAAGGCTCCAACAGCTTCTCGATCCTTTTCCAGGACCTCTTGTGAACGGCCAGAGCCGCTCTCCACTTCTCCAGGGCTTTTCCTCCCTTCTTAAACCTCAGGTGCCTTAAACCACACCCAGCAGAGCACGGAGTAGACAGGTGAGCATACACCTTGACCCCACCTTCATCTACGACTCCGAAAACTTCTCTCAGAAGACACAAGCCATTATAGCTCAGAAGATCAACCTCCTTAGTCACCCCAAAGTAGGCGATCTCGGGGACCTTCGAGCAGGCTTTGGACAAAGCGCTTCCTTCTTCACAACACAGTTCAACCACTACGTACTTAGCTTCACCGCGAGCTAGCTTCAACGCAGCGACTTTCCAGGAAGGCGGAACAGACGGAGTAAAACGTTCGTTTTCATTGGGCTCTTCAAAAGACACGTGCACCTCAGTAGGCTCACTCTCCCAGGCCTTCGGTTCATCTACAAGGCCAGAGGCATCGTACAAGCTAGCCAAACTTTCGTTAGTAGGGCTCTTCGTGAGGGCGTCCGCAGGGTTTATCACTCCGGGTATGTGTTCTATGGTAAAACGACCCCTGGCCACCAGCTCCTGAAGGAATGCGGCACGAAGTTCGATGTGCCTCACTTTCCTCAGGAGGGTCTGCATCTTAGATATACAAACCGCCGATTCGGAATCAGAATATCCCTTAAGAACATAATAACCGGTTTCCTTGTCTTTCGGCATACCCTCGCGGATGGTCTCCACAAGCAAAGCAATGTACAACCCTTCACGAGCAACCTCTGTGAGTGCAGCGAGTTCAGCTTCCGCACTGGAGAGTGCGGTAGTCGTTTGTTTCCTGCTGAAGCTTTTCAGGGAACAGTTCTCCCACGTGATGATTCCGCCGCTTACCGAATTCAGACTCCAGCTCGCGTCCGTAAAACAAGATACAGAGGCAGGGTCCGCATCATCTTCCAAGATCTCCCTTTTGCTCGGAAACCTCTGGACCTTGTGCGGAAGACCCTTGACCCAACGAAGGACATCCCTCATACAGGTCTCGGCAGCCTCGTCAGGAGCTGCTTGGTGGCGGCCCAGAAACCCACACACAAACTGCAGGTCTGGTCGTGATAAAGCCGCCCAGGCCAACCGGCCCAGAGTCCTTCTGTACCTTTCGTGAGCAGCTGGACTGATCGGCTCAGTCTGGCCTTTCTTCAGCAACTCAGCATAGCGGCGTTCAAGGGAAGGGAGCTTTGGTGCAGGTTTGGTGATTCCGTACTCCTCGCAACAGGAACTCAGGTACTGTTCGTCTAGCCCGAAATACACCGTACGTTCCCCTTTCTTACGGCGAAAGATCCGCCGACCGAGAAACGAGACTTCCCCGGGGCAATCTTGAATCAACTCGCCCGTAAGTTTCAGTTTGTATCTTTTACGCAACTCCTCGTAGAACCGGCGCCCCTCAGCTTCATCTTCACTATAGATCAGCAAGTCATCCACATAAAACAACACAATCGTCAAACCCTTCCTCGTAAGACGACGGAATATAGTGGGATCCAAACTTGCTTCGAAGTTCTGAGACCGCAAGTATTCAGCCAACTCGCAATACCAAGATAATGGAGCAGAGCGCAATCCGTTCATCGCTTTCCGCAATTTGACGAAAACTCGTTCCCCAGTCCCCTGGGTGCTCACATTATTCGGCAACTCTACGAATTCTGCCCTCGCTACGGGAGCATGCATGAACGCTACCGAGACATCGCAGGACAACACACTGCCACGTCGGCAGAGCATTGATAGAAGCAATCTCAGACCCTCCAATGAAGTAGTAGGAGAGTAGATTCCCTCACTCAAGGTGGTGCCTCCCATAGAGGCATAATCCCGCACGACTAGCCTAGATCTATACAGTCCCTTCTTCTTGACCGTGTTGACCCACCTGCTAGTCAAAACTCGCCTGCCGTTTTCCTTAGCAAGACGGCGAGCTTCACGCTCAGGGATCACTTCCCCAACCTTAAAGGACTCCAACTCTTCCAACTCAAGCTTCATTGATGCGTAAAGGAGGTCGGGTTCTAGCTTCTCTCCCGAAGTCTCAGAAACAGCGTGCTGGGGAACAGCACACCTTATCTTCGTACCCCCAAACTTCAAATCAAACGACTTTGCGACTGCAGTGGAGGCGGCTCGAAGGTCAGGCCCTCGAAACAGGGACTCAAGATAGTGATTCGTGAGCCAGTCTATTTCCATATCCCCCTCATCGTTCACAACCTCCTGGTTCTCAGGCGCTTCCGAAGGAGAATAGTCACCAAGCTCATCTTCGATCATCTCTTCATCACCATCTTCATCCATTCCCACACCCGCCCCCTCATCAGGAGCATCATCACCAGGAGCCTCCAACGGATCAAACAGTATGGGCCTCTCGGGGTCCTCAGTGTCCTGCAGAAGAGGCTTAGCTAAAGATAGCTCTTCCAGGGTCTTGGCATCGTAGATGTCACCTCCCTGAATCATTCTGGCGACGGGGAATATATCTATTTCACTGCTTCCGACAGGGACGGCAAAGATGCCGCCACCTTTGGCGTGCACCGGTCCCAGATAAACCGCTTTCACGGTCCGGGCGCCCCTGAACTTATCATGGTGCGCCTTGGACTTACTGACCTGAGCTTGAACCAGACACCCGAACGGTCTCGTCCGAGTTCGGTTCACAATCTCCTCATGCAGTCGATCTATGCTAGTGCTCGAATCCCCGACGCTGGTACACCAGAGGTTATAGCACCTAGCAACGTAGAAAACACAGGCTTGCCAAAGCAAACCTCCCAAAGGTAACCGATACTTCCCAAGCTCAACGGCTTCCGTTTCCTGCTTCACCTTAGCAACCTCTTTCTCCAGGTCCAACCAAACAGACCAGAAACCCTGCTTCATAGTTTCAACCTGCCGCTCAATCGATCCCTTCGACTGGGGCCTGTAGCCCGGAACCACGTCAATCAAAGTTGCGCTGGCAGGGCTGCTATCGCACTTGGTGAGTTTCTCGGCAAGGGCTCCAAGAGCCGCTTCTTGGTCCATCCGAAATGTAACCGCTTTACCGACTAATCCCATTTCGCGAATCACACGGTTGATGTTGTGGAGCAGGTCAGGGTCATCGAGGTGCATCGCAGGAAGAGAGACAGTATACTTAGAACCGAGGTGCATCATCAAGAGTACCCTCAGTTTTCCAAAATAGAAGAAATCAAGACCTATGGTCTGGTTCTCTCTCTGCAGCTTCCTCCTCAAGCGACGCGCTGGAACGCGCCCTTTCGAAGAACAACACGCTTCACAATTGGAATCAAACGGAAAATGCCCTCGGCTCCGATGATTATACAACGACACAGAAGAAAGAGGAACCCTCAGGTCCTCCTCGTCCTCAGGTCCAACCGGGTCGTCAGGTGGTGTTGGACCCTTTTCTTTTCGAGGTTTCTTGGAAGAGCCAGGGGCAGACCCTAACGGTTCAGGGTCCTCATCGAAGATTCCTTCAGGATCTAAAGGATTACGACTAGAAGCTTCAGGTTTTGAGGAAGTTTCGGGAGCAGGTCTCGAGGAAGGTTCGGGGTCCAAGTCAAACGGATCAGAACGTGTACCGGTCCCCGGCGACGGTAAACCTCTAAAACGCACGGCTCGGAGCACGTGCTCAACTTGTTCCGTCTTCTTTGCCGGGGCCGGTTCATCATCTCCGGCACAAAGCATGCCAAACATGCCGCAACATGCACACTTCAAGTTTTCAAAGACATGCTCACAAACGCGCTCCCCAAAACCTTTCACCTCACGACTCAAAAGAAGTTTCCTACTCACCTCGACGCGGGCCCAACGGTCCCGCAGCTTAATCCTAAAATAGCTTCCGCGTTTTCTAGAAAACACCCTGTAGCACTTCCGTGGCCTCTTTCGAGAAACCACTTTCCTGAAACACCGAAGTAACCCTGAAGAAACCCACAAAGCTATACCCCAGAAGAGGCTGTAGACCGTCAGGAGGAGCACGATGATACCAATATCCAGTCCTGGCGTGAAACCATTCCTGAAAGCGGCCGTGGTTTTAAAGGTGCGGGTTTCGAAGGTAGGAGGGTTCGAGGTACGTTGGGTTGGTCTTCGAGCAAACTCAACATGCCACAGACCATGCCAACGCTCATGCCACACAACATGCTGCTGCAAAACGTGCTGCTGCAAAGTGTGTTGCTGCAAAACGTGCTGCTGCAAAGCGTGCTTTTGCAAAACACCCCTCGTTGCGGATCGCCGCAGATTCACTCCAACAATCTCTGGCCCTCTTCGAGGGCTTGCCTCACCTGCGCAGTCAATTGACTGTGGCTTAAAGATGGCGGGCTGAGCACAAATGCCCGTTCCTGGGCAGTCTGTCCGGTGGCAGAACCACTCGAAGCCGCACTCATAGCCCTCGGAGGCGTGGGTAGCCGAGATCTTTTTGGAACCGACGGCGGGATGTTCACGCCGTGCCTTCGATAGTCCTCCCTCTGCATTCCCTCTGGAAGCGTAGGTGCCGAGACCCTCGGGAGGTTGAAGGCCGTAGCCACCAGTTCTCCAGGTGGCATTGAGGAAGCCGGGCTCGGCGGCGCCGGCTGTCCCGCCTCGGCGGGCTGATTTCCCTCGTCGGCCGCCCCAACATAGCCATCCAATTGGGACAACCTCTGGCCTGTAAGTTCTTCCAATGTGCGCCATATGGCGAGGTCGGATAAATCTTCTTGGCCCTGGGCCCTGTTCAGCGCAGTAAGTTCCCCCTCTCCAAGGAGCAAGGACTCCTCGTCGGAGCTCGAAGAGGTGGTGTCCACTACACCACCCTGAGGGATCGCTGCCGATTTGGCCCTTGCCGCTCGCATGGATTCCCGGGCCTCGTGGAGGCGCTCCTCCTCTCGTTTTCGCCTGTAATATCGGGCAACACGGAGATATATGCCCGAATCTAGAAACGCCCAAGCCGTTTTGAGCTCGAACGAGGTGACCGACTGGGGCACCTTTACGAGCAGACTCGAACGTCCTCCCACCAGTCCCTTGTATCCAGCAGGCGTAGCCAAATAGGTTTGCAAAACGGCTCGACAATGGAAGATATAGTGGAGCATAGACACAGGGTTGGGTTCCTGAAACCTTCGCTTCCACGCTGCCCGAGCGGCCCGTGGAGCCTCCAGAAGTTCGGTAACCCTGACAGCGAACTCCACATCTACCATATGAAGCCCGTACTCTGCCAGGCTCTTGCCCTCTAGGCAACGTCCCAACCAAACCTCCCATTCCTGCTGCCCAATGATACATTGGGCTTCCGATTCCACCATCTTCGGCCTCGAAGCCCTCACTGGCTCCTCCGGATAGGCCGCTGTCACAGGAATCACCGGAGTGGCTGGTAGCCAAGCAGCTGGATGCTCTAGGTCGGGCAAGCCTATCGGACCAAGCATCGTCGCCGCCGGAGAGCAAAGTGCTCTCAAGGCGTGTCCTGGCGCACAGAACGCCAGGGAGGGGGCATCGTAGGCATCTTCCATGTTCGCTGGAATCCCCGCCAAGTGCGAGAGCAACGGAATAGGCTCGGTAGAGTCGACCGAGACCTTTGCAAGGCCCAGCGTTTCCGCATGCTCCCATCTGCGGCCAGCCTCCAGCCTCAACGCCCTCAGGAGGAGTTGGGTCCCCACATTCATCTGAACCGCACCAAAAGGAGGACTCAGCGAGCCCGGCGAAATATTCGCCGGGATTCCAACCCGCGGTGGCGTAGGCCCCTCGACCTCTGAAGGACCCCCAGCGCGCAGGCGCTTCGAGGGATTCGGCCACTTGTGGCCCCAACTCTCCTCCCCTTCGCTCTCCTCCGCTGCTTCCGTCACCACTGGCGACGGGTAGACCGCCACCGGCGACGATGGTCCCCCACCCGGCGGCTCTAGCCCCGGTAGTTCGAAAGAGGGGCTCTCCAAAGCCGGTGGAGTAGGCGGATTCCCAGGAGAGCCTGGGCTGCTCAAAGCAACACTCGGGGTAAACTCGTCCCCGCTGGCACCGTCCATTATGATCTCCAAAGGGAGACCTCTCTTCACCACAGAGAAAAACGGCTGCAGATGAATCGTGCGCAGTGCTAGCGCAAACATTCGGCAACATCAGCGTTTGCAAAATCAAGCCAAGCATGCCAACATGCCACTGTTTCCTAGGTTCACGCAGCTGTTTCCTAGACTCACACAGTCGCTTCCTAGGCTCACGCAGTTGCTTCCTAGTCTCAACAGTCGCTTCCTAGGCTCACGCAGTTGCTTCTCAAGCTCAGGCAGCTGCTTTCGCAATCCTTTTCCTACCCTCTTGTGGCTGAAGGGTCTGTCTTCTTCACTTGCCATCGAGCAAGACCCAACCAGCTGCAATGCTACCATCAGCATCGCTCTCAGAATACTGCGAATCTGGAACCTCGTCGTGGGCACGTAGCCATTGCAGCCCCGACCAGTGCTGTATACAGGCCCAGCAATAATGATGGGTGTGCGCAGGTTTGCGTCTAACGCACCCCTGCTTTCCGCACACTTCGCACCGGCACTCGCATTCCGGCTTTGATCCGCCCAGATAGTTTCCCATAGCAGGAAAAAGAGGCGTATTCTGAGTCTTTCTGCAAAAGCCGTAAGGGTAAAAGTCCGCTCGAGCACAGCAGCAAAAACCCACTGCGCTTGCACAACCATGTCTCTCATGAAAACATGCCATCGCAAAACCATGGAAAAACATGCCAAAAACATGCAAAGCACCATGCCAACATGCGACTGTTTCCTAAAATCAAGAGCCATGCCAGCATGCACCTGTTTCCTAAAATCAATCGCCGCGCCCTGCCTAACGTCACTAGACTCTTCTAGAAGATCACAAAGCTCAATCTCCCGTGGTGCAGGCGCTCTTGGAGCAACTTCCGCCCTAAGACCCCGAAGCAGAAACCCAAAAGGAGTGGCAGCCAAAGCGTGGCGGCCAGACTCGTCTTCTTCCGAAGTCTTTCTTCCTTTCTTCAGGATTCCTTCTCCAGGCTTCTGGGGTCCTGCGGTGGACTCCTTGCTCGATCCTAGCAGGTCGCGGTCCTTCAAGGCATCTATCTCCATGTCCTCGATCCCTTTCGGGGGGCGTCTGGAAGAATTCTCTTTCCCCCGGCCCTTGGACCTCCCGCTCAGAGCCCACCAGGCACGCGAAGCGCCCATCAGCTTGATGCTCTTCTTTCCGTTTCCTTTGTACAATCGTGATCCCGATTTGGCTAGATAGGTTTTCCAGCCCCGTTCCGACCCGGTCCAAGGCGAAACAACGTTGAACCCAACATCCGCCACCAGGACCTCTTCCAACCTCAGGAAAACATCACCAAAATGAACCTCAAGGTCGACAACCCCCGACACAACGATCGCACCACCCGAGGCATTGAACAGATTGGCCGTTCGGTCGTACTTCTTGACAACACGAAATCCTGAGAGATGTTTGTCCGAAACAATGTGGCAGGTGGCTCCACTATCCACTAGCCAAAGGTCCCCAGGAGTAGTCTCGAGGGCCTTGCAGACATGAGCTACGTCGCCGTACTTCAACATACGGGATCCTAAGGAGCCCATAGACTCAGAACCTCGACTCTCAGACCCAGGCGACCCTTCGGGTCCTGAACCCGGCTTCGGAACTACAAGGGCGGACGACTCAGGCTTCTCAGGCTGTCTCAGAACACGGCGTTCCGAAGAAGAGGGCTCCGAAGAACCACGCCCAGGACAGGAAAACCTCATCGCCATCACTGTGGCGCTTCCTCCCGACTCGGCCTCGGACTCCGGCTCTGTCAAGGAGCGTCCCTTTCCAGGCTGTCCCTTCTTCTTCTTCTTCTGCTTCTTGCCTTTGTCCTTTCCTTTGTCGCCCTTTCCTTTGTCGCCCTTGCCCTTCTCGGAACCACGGGGCGTGCCAGATCCCTTGGGAGTCTGGTCGCCTTTGCCTTTCGGCTTTCCTTTGTCTCCTTTCCCTTTGCCCTTCGGAGCACCACCGCGTTCACGTTCTTCCTTTTGGCGCTGCCAACACTTGTCGGCTGTGTGTCCCTTCTTCCCGCAGTAGTCGCAAAGCTTCTCCTGCAAGGCTCGGCCCGAAGACCCAGGGGCCTCACACAGTCGCAGCTGCTCCTCGTAGTAAGTCAGCGTCCTTCGAAGAGCTTCCCAGTTCGAGCTGGACCCGTGCAGTACCACGTACTGACGCACTTCTGCACCCAAGCTCTGTAACAGGACAGAGCAGCGGTCAGCCTCAGACAGCAGAAGCTCCGGAAAGTTGCTCAGCTTCGCCTCAGACTTCGAAAACGAATCCTCAAGATGTCGAATCAAGTCGGTGGGCCTCTTCAAATGCCCAACGTGCTGGTACAACTTCAAAGCCTGTTCTCTCACGAAGACAGCTTCCATCCGCGACACGATGGAGTACTGAGAGGTAATCGTTCTAATCACCTCGTAGCCGCAGGCGCTCTGCCCCTGCCTCTTCGAGCAGGACCTCAAGAGCTCGCTTCCCCGCTCCCACTTGGCGAGGGACTGCGTCAAGTAGTAGAACAGCTTGGAGCTACGTGCGGCAGTCTCGGGATTCAAGTCAGCTTGCACAATCTCCTTCTTCACAGGGATACAAAGCTGCAGTTCCCGAACAAACGCTTCTTCCTGCAGGGCAAGCCAGGAACTCAGCGTCTCCATAAAGGAGTGCCAAGTCTCTACCTCCTTCATGCGCCCTTTCCCCATGCCTTGATGGTCTATCACCGGAAGGTTCGGCAGATACTTCTCTGCACGGCCTCCAGCACCAGAGTACCCGGAGGGAGACGGAACTGCCGGAGCTCCCGAACTAGCGGCAGAACTGCTCGCGGGAGCAGTGCTCGGCTGGAAGGGGTCCCGAGTCTTAGCTGCCTCTGCTGCCTGCTTGGCCGCTTCAGCTGCCTCAAGAACTTTCTCTTCCGCTTTGTTCCTTCTCTCTTCCTCCAGATCCATTCTCCGGAGCATCGTCGCAACGAGCTGCTGGTTCATTGCCATCATCTCTCTCTGCTGACGAAGCAATTCCATCATGAATCCAGGCATCTGCTCAGGCGTAAAACCTGCAGAACCAGAGCTGCCACTCGGAGCAGCAGCCTTCGGACTCTGAACAGGTGGAGCCGACGCCTTAGGACTTTGCACAGGAGGCACAGTAGCACCAGTAGGCGAACCCGCCGCTGGTTCTGAAGGCTGTGCTTGCGTAGGAGCAGGAGCCGGACCTTGGACAGGAGCAAACGGATTCGCTCCCTGCTGAGCAGCCGCTTCATGCGCTGCCGCAGCTGGTCCTGGACCGAAAAGCTCGAACTCTTCTTCTGCAGTGGTCTCCGGCACAGGAACGTCTGCCATGGCTTTACTAGGAACGCACTCAGAGCTCCGCTACCATGTGAAAAACGCAGAGCAAGTCTCTTTTCACTCCACGCTTGAGCCAAACACCGAAGTGTTCAGCAAGGTCTCTTGCGGAGTCTCGCGCAGCAAATTCCGTCTCAACTTTGCTAAACAAAGGAGGAATGACATGCAACTGTCCTAACACTTCTCAGGACTTCTGTACTCACTCAAACAGCAGTGCACAGCCACTCTGGCCCTTGGCCTGTTCCTACCGGCACGAGCGAAGCGAGGGTCGGCGGAAAACAGCAACAGTGCAGTCAGAGCAACACGCACTTCTTCAAGGATGCACAAAAGCATCCATCATGTTCTTCAACGCAACTGCAAACATGCCAAAACATGTGTTAGCCATGCAAATGCCTGTTCAAGCTTCCAAGACAAAACAGTTCAAGGCAAAAAGGATGAAACCCTTTCTCATGCGCAAAACAAGCATGTCGGTACTCAAGGGCACACCTAAAAGGAGCAAACTTTTCACAGCGTACACCACTTTCAGAGGCAAAAGCAACCAGGTGAAGGTCCAGTGTGCTGGAACATGGCTGAAGCCCTTTGTGCAAGCAGCTGGTTGATTCTAACCACTGCCTGGTCCTTAATTAGGACATCCTGTTCCCACTAAAGATTCCGGCACTGGTTGGCCGTGTCTTGCACTAGCTGGTCGACTTGGCCAAATTTAAGCCTGAAATCCTCCCAATCCAGGTGAGAGTTAACCCAGCTGAGATGCAGCCGGTCGCGGTGTTTTCCAAGCGGGGTGAAAATATCTTCCGACTGCCATCCCTGTTCTATAAACTAGTGGTGTACGTCTGGCGGTATCGCCGGAGGCTTTAAAGAGAGCATATGAAGCGAAGACGAAGCTTTTTCCCGGAATGCCGAAAAAGTCCTACAGCTCCGAGACTAGGTTTAAACACAAAGGACGGTTGCTGGGTGGACTAATGCCCCCCCATGCAAGTCTACTACGGCATAACTTTTTTGATAAACGCAAATGAACAGCGAAAAAAATGACAGCAGTTACGAGTGCCATTCGTGGTGCATGTCTGTCCCTGAATCCGAAGAAGTTGGCAGTCCGAAAACTTCCAAGACTGATCACTACCCTACAAGGAGCCGCCCAATGCATCAAGCAGGAAATTGAACCACAAGAAAGGCTCAAACTCGTTTGGTCTTGCTAAAGACTCCAATGGCTGCATGAGTTTTATCAGGCATTTGGCCCCTCCGGTGAAAGGAACCACAAATTCGAAACCTTGGCGGGCGCTGTCTCGAATGCTTGTTTGGCATCTAATCGCACCGTGGATGTCAAAACCGACAATTCAGAGCTTGCAATCCGACAGTGTTCTTAGCGACGCCTGTCCGTCTCCGAGACATCGATCTTTGCTTTCAAGCTGTGTATCGTGAAATTCAACTCCTCTGGGGGCGATGACGATGGCATTGCAATGCAGTGCCCAAGCAGCTTCAAAGCCTGAGCGTAACACATTGGCTCCAGAGGCAGGATGAAACCGTGTCTTCATAAATCAATGACTTTGTCATAAGCGCAATGAAGAAGCTCCGCTTGGCCAATCCTGCATAACCATGCTTCTCAAAGAGTCATTGTAACCAGAATATCAGCCATGACCACGCCGTCGAGAAGCTCAAGCGAAAACCCGAGAGCATTCACCAAGAAATGAGACCATGCCGACAGACAGCGAAACACGATAACTCTGGCAAGGTTAGGCCTGAAGGCGGCAGGGAAGGGCTTTAGAGAAGCACTTCGGTGAGGTACTGGCAGCGGAGTCCACACGGCAGGAGGTGCAGAGGCTTCAGTCTTCGAAATTTATGATCAGGCGCAACAGGCGGTTGCATGGCCCAGATAACACACACGCGCTGAATGTGGCTTGGGAACCAAGCTTTTGTGGGCGTTGCTGCCTTTGCCCCTCTTTGGCATATCTTGCCTTGTGCGAGGCAATGCATCTTCGCTTGCCCCAACGTTGATCTGAGAATCGTCTTCTGCCAGCAGCTTGGTTAAAGTTTTCCGCACCTTGGGATTGCTGCACAGCCAAGTCAGTGGACTGTCTGGTAACTGCTCCCGTGGATCCGTAACCTTGACTCAAGCCGTTTCGGCTAAAGAATAAGATCTGGTAAGACGTAGTAAGGTGGGAGTCCGTAACCAGCAGGTTCGTTTCTAGTAGCTGGCTCCCTCGCTGTCGAGGGTTAGGGGGAGGGCTCTGGGAGACACCTTGTTATCGGGCGTGAGGTGTTTCAACAAGGTCTCTTGCAAGAGTAACTGTTTTCCGCAAGTCTTTGCGCCGTAGCCAAGTGGAAGGTTTCGTGGAGGGGTGCTTAAAGTGCCTCTGCCAAAGTTATTGTTTTTGCAAGCTTGAGTGCAGAAACGGGGCGAAAGTGAAGTGTTGATCACTTGAGTCCCAAAGCTGCCCCTGACTCCCTCGGACATACGTCCGTTGGAGAGGCACGACTTTGAGACCATTGCCGAGTTGGAGAGGAACTGTCGCTCAAGTGTGAGTTTCTCTGCTCTTTAACGCTGTGGTTGTGTCGAAGCTTTCGGTACTGGCTGACGGTGCGAGATTTTGCTGCCAGGGCTGACATACGTCAGCAGGAGAGAACCTTCTTGCAAGTGAGAGTTCAGGTTGTGACTCTGCAAAGTTTCCCAAGAATCGTCTGAGCTGGCAGATGCTTCGCTGCACCTGACTCTTGCTAGCTCGCCTGTGCAGGTGTGTAAGACTTGCTGACAACTGTCCTGCCTTGCTTCGAAGTTTTGGTTTGCCAACTTCCTCCGTCTCTGCAAGAGTTTTGGTGGTTGGTTGTTTTTAGAAGTTTTTGCGCGAGTATCAAACACCTAAGACCCAGTTGCAGTTAACCTTCAGGAAGCTGTTTCGCCAGGCCGTAGCTGCTTCCGTTGACATATTGTCATTGGGATTGCAAGCGTGCGAACCGGGTTTGCGGTCTTGTGGCACAAAAGTCGTCTTGTTTGAGTGGGTAGTGTGTGAGGCCGGCAGACTCGCTGTCTGTGGGTGGTTGAGAAGCACAAGAAGAGACCTGCTGTTGCCTCACACCTCTCTCTCAGTGAGTAGCTGTCAAGCAAAAACGGAGGCTCGCTCTTGCAACTTGCTGTCGAGGCCAGGGTCCTTGAGGAGGGGGGTAGTTCGCAGTCATTGGGCAATTCAAAGTGTCTTGAGTGGTTTGCAAGCCCTTTGGCACGAAGTAACTTTGTGCCAATCTGACGGTCTGGAGGAGGTTTGGTTCAACGCTTTTGCAACAAACTTGTGTGACTGTGGTGTTGCTTGAAGCTGCCGTGCCGCTGAACAGTGCACAAGAGCCACACGCCGGGCTCCCAGGTTTGCAGCTCAGGCTCCAACACACCCGCCGTGAAGTTTAGGAGCCAGGTTCCGCGTTCGCCGCAAAGGTAGGTCAGAGGCCAGGTCACGCTGCCGCAACGTTTCGGGTAGCACAGGCCACAAAGCAGGTATTGCTGAAGCCGCAAAGCCTCTAAGCACGTTTTGCCGAGGGGCATTTGCGCTTTGTACAAGGGAGGATGTGCGTAAGCCACAGGCTCCCAGGTTTGCCACTCAGGTCTAACGCCTTGGATTGTTTGCTCTTTGCACAAGGGCAATGTGTCTCGGGGCTACAGGCCAGCGCCCAGGTTTGCATCTCATAGCCCTCATCCGCCGCAGTGGTTAGGCTTTTACTTTCATGCTCGCCACAGAGGTAGGTTATAAGGGTTATGAGTTGCCGCAGGTCTGCAGGTTAGCCGTCAGGCCGCGAAGGTTCGAAGGTACGTTGGAGGTCAAGCCGCGCTGCCGCAAAGGTTGGGGCCGCACACACAAGAGGCAGGTTTGGCTGGACCGCGAGCCGCAACGCTTCTCAGAAGGTTTTGTAGAAAGCTCCCGCGCTTTATAAGGGTTGGGTGCCCGTCCCTACCTTTGGTTATGCCCTTCTAAAAATTGAGGCCGCTGCGCGGGGCTTAGTTAAGATTTAGGGTAGGTTTCTAACCCCCTTAAGCGGAAGCGGTTGTCCGTGGTATACCAAAGGGTGGGGGATCCCAAAACCTGCAGAGGGGGAGTCATAGCCAAAAGCCTGAGACCCCAGCTGGGAGGCCAACACTCGCCAAGCGAGCTTCGGGGGGGGCTTGCTTGTGCAGTTGTGGGTTTGGTTGTGCCTGTTTTGGAAAGGTTTTCTGTACTTGGGTGACGAGACTCACGCAGTCAACGCTCGGCGTGGTGGCCTGCCGGTAAAGCCACCCTTGTCACCTGTTCAGTCTGCCTATGCGCCGCCATCTGTGTTTGAGCGCGCACGCACTGTGAACATGCCTTCCACGTCTCGCCTTACAGCCAGCTGTAGAAGAGGCAGGTCTTGCTGTGCTGCACGCCGCAAAGTTTCCAACACCATCGTGACGGGAGTGCGAAATACTATCGCTACCCAGCTTGATGGAAATAAGGTTTTGCCGAGAGCTTTTGCGCTTTTTAGGGGTTGGGTACCCGTCCCAGCCTTTGGCTGAGCCCTTCTAAAAATTTAGGCCGCTGCACAGGGTTAGTTAAGATTTAGGGCAGGTTCCTAACCCGATAAGCTGAAGCGGTGGTGCTTGGTATAGCCAGAGGGTAGGGGATCCCAAAACCTGCAGAGGGGGAGTCATAGCCAAACGCCTGAGATCCCAGCTGGGAGGCCAACACTCGCCAAGCGAGCTT